AACATATGTGGAACCATTTAAAGGAGTGTTGTGTATGGAGGAAGGCTGCATTTCTTTGCATTAAAGTATGTGTATAGGTGGAGTATAGATCGTTTCCTTTATGCCTACTGAGTCCGTGAAGTTCAGCATTGACATTCTGAAACATCCCTGTACAGCAGGGATGTCCCACAGGTCGGTCGTGATCTACTGTTAAATCCCCGGGAGGTTTTGGTGGATCGCGGTCTATCGCTGGGTCCCTTTCCGTTGTTAAATTAGAATCCTGCCCCGCACCCTTGGCCCACCCTCCAGAATCTGCAGAATGGAAGATGGAGTATACTGATCTGTTGGTGAGCGGCTGTTCCCCTTCCTTCCTAAAACAAGCTCAACAACTTTGACCTGAACCCCCCAAAAGGCAGTAGATCACTGTCAGTTTTTAATTCTGTGAGTAGATCGCAGTCTCTTGGGAGTTGGCCAACCCTGCTCTACAGAAGCCAGAATCCCTGTTTCTGTGCTGGACATGGAATCAGAGAATTGTTGGGATGGTCATCTCAAGGGTAATCTAGTCCAACCCCCCGCAATGCAGGAACCACGGCTAAAAAATCCCTGGCAGATAACCCGTCCAACCTCCTCCAATGAAGGAGAGTGAACCACCTTCTAAGGTAGTCCCTTCCGCTTTTGCACAGCTCTTACCATCAGAAAGTTCTTCCTAAGTTTTAGTCCCTTTCAACTCTGCAATTCCATGATTCTATCGAGATGGAATCTCCTTCCTCGTACAGTGGTACCTCAGGTTACAGACACTTCAGGTTACATACGCTTCAGGTTACAGACTCCGCTAACCCACAAATAGTACCTCGGGTTAAGAACTTTGCTTCAGGATGAGAACAGAAATTGCGCGGCGGCAGCAGCAGGAGGCCCCATTAGCTAAAGTGGTACCTCGGGTTAAGAACAGTTTCAGGTTAAGAACGGACCTCCGGAATGAATTAAGATCTTAACCTGAGATATCACTGTAATTGGAATCGGATATTTCCTACCCTCTGGAGCAGCAGAAAACAAGCTTGCTCCATCTTCAGACTCCTTAGATATTTGGAGATATCTCAGTCCTATCTTCTTCATGCTCAACATATCCGACTCCTTCCTTCAACCGTTCCTCAAAAGGCCCATCTCTCTGTCTTCCATCTGCCTGAATGAAAGGGAGCTGGAGGGTGGGGGGAGGCGGAGGGAGAGATAAGCAGGCCAATAGATGGAGCAGATGGCCCTGCAGGAACGAGCCCTTAAAAAAAGAAGAAGAAAAAGCCAGGTCACACTAGAGTCTTAGCAGTAAGCACTGCCATGCCTTATGGTTCTGTTACTTAACTTGGTCGGAGCGCAGACTCCGGCTACAGACGTGTTTTGGCTCATCGTACAGCGTCTGCCTTCGAGAGCTTGTCGTTCCAAGCGATGTGGTAGCATAAAGATTCCTCGCAGCTTAGAGCCAAGTCTGGGAATGACTGTTGCTCTTCCCCCAAACACTCCGCCACTCACCAATGCCCTACTAAGCTCTGGAAACGTATCTGCGGTTAAAAATACAGAACAATGATTGCATGCTTCCTATAATTTTTTTTTTGCTCAAGGCGCACAGTCATTTGGGGGGAACGCATCCTGATTGTCTGGAACTGGCAGGGCTGCGACGAGTGTGCAGCAAAGGCAGGAAGGGGGCAGAGGCTGATTGAGGGGAAACGGTCAGTGATCTATGGGGTTTTGTGCCACCCGCGAAGCAGGAGCCAGGAATGGACGAAAGGGAAGAGATGGAGCAGTCGGAGACAGGAGGTGCAGGATGCGTCACAAGAGGAGGAGGGGCTTGAGGAAGCAGGAACGGCAGGGTGGATTTGGTTTAAATCAAATCGATTTAAATCACTAGTCAGTAAGACTTGATTTAAATCTTTCTCCCCCCCCCCCCCCAAGACTCATTCTTGCTGGTATAATCTTAATATTTACAACCAGATGAAGGTTTCATTTTTGGAATATTAAATTTTCAGAGTACTTTTTACAAATATATCAAAAATTACTGATTTGGTTATTCTATTACAGATAATTATGAAATTATTGCGAGGTTTAATAAGTTAACTGTTTATATTTGGGCAACTTTTCTGCTGTACTTTATTGGAAGGGGAAAAATAATCATTTCCTGAATAACAATTAAAACAATTTGTTTAACTGAAACAGTAACATTATAGCATATGTATCCATGTTTGTTAACTGATGTGGCTAAAAGATTATTATTATTATTTTATTATTATTCCACAAATTAACACTCTTCTCCCCCTCCCTGCTTCTGACATTTCCTGGGTGGTCCCTTCCTATTGGGACTAGAGGGGCAAAGGGCAGAGGAGATCAGCAGTTGGGTAGATCCACAGCCAGTGACAAGGCAGGACCAACTAATTCTAGTTTTCCTCCTGCTCCTCCTCCAGGCAGAGTTATGCTAAGGCAATATTGAAGCTAAGGAGGAAGAATCATACAATCCTCTACAATGCAGGAATCCCGCCCACAGCCTTCCCTGGGTGCGCTCGAACCACCAGCCTCCTGGTTAACAGCCAGGTAGTGAGTGCTACCCCCTAGACTGGTTGTAAATACAGTGGTACCTCAGGTTACATATGCTTCAGGTTACAGACGCTTCAGGATACAGACTCCACTAACCCAGAAATAGTACCTCGGGTTAAGAACTTTGCTTCAGGATGAGAACAGAAATTGTGTGGCGGCAGCCGGAGGCCCCATTAGCTAAAGTGGTGCTTCAGGTTAAGAACAGTTTCAGGTTAAGAACAGACCTCCGGAACGAATTAAGTTCTTAACCTGAGGTACCATTGTAGGCAAATTGAGGCGGGGAGGAAGGCCGGGGGTGGGGGGTGTTGTTCTCCATATGCCCTAACGGACTGGCCGCCAATGCTTTCTTCTCTTTCCTCTGGCAGTCAGAGGAAAATTGCCTGAATTGTGGCAGCGGCTTCCGACAGTACCGTATAAGAAAACTGTTACAATTCCGGATTAAATGGAAAACCACAAATTATAAGCCTCCGCAAGTGTTTGTGGTCACCCTCAAGGGGCTCCCCTTCAGGGTACAATGCACTTCAGTTTTCCTGCGCCTGCTCATGTTACCAAATGACTAACATCAGGCAAACGTTTTGTGCGCACCCCATTTATTTTCTTTCTTTCTTTATTAGTGCATGCAGGCTGCTGGGATAGTAATGTGTACACGTGGGGCTACATTCAGCTTAGCTTTTTCTCAGAAGTAGACCCACTGAAATTAACACGTCTTACTTAGCCATTTGCATTGGTTTCAGTGTAGGAACATTCTGAGTAAACATTAGTGAAATGCAACCCGCAGAATTTTATGCTGGGTACAGAAATTTGAAATAATAATAATAATAATAATTATTTATTATTTATACCCCGCCCATCTGGCTGGGTTTCCCCAGCCACTCTGGGCAGCTTCCAACAAAACACTAAAATACAATAACCTATTAAACATTAAAAGCTTCCCTAAACAGGGCTGCCTTTAGATGTCTTCTAAAAGTTTGGTAGTTATTTTTCTCTTTGACATCTGGTGGGAGGGCGTTCCACAGGGCGGGTGCCACTACCAAGAAGGCCCTCTGCCTGGTTCCCTGTAACTTGGCTTCTCGCAGTGAGGGAACCGCCAGAAGGCCCTCGGCGCTGGACCTCAGTGTCCGGGCAGAACGATGGAGGTGGAGACGCTCCTTCAGGTATACTAGAGCGAGGCAGTTTAGGGCTTTAAAGGTCAGCACCAACACTTTGAATTGTGCTCGGAAATGTACTGGGAGCCAGTGTAGGTCTTTCAAGACCAGTGTTATATGGTCTCGGCGGCCGCTCCCAGTCACCAGTCTAGCTGCCGCATTCTGGATAGAGCGCATTGCAGTAGTCCAAGCGAGATATAACCAGAGCATGTTACCAAGGATATGTTCTTCTACATTTCTAGGCACAGATCTGGGCTTCCCAGGTCTATGTCCGAGTACCTTTTCTCTTCCTCCCGCCCCCCTCCCCCCCGCTTTTCCTGTGGAAACCAACTCAGCACTGAATCAGAGCATCCTGTAGAAAAACTGAACTGCTGTTTGCTCCGATTCAGCAGTAAAGGTCAGGTAACACACTAGTGGCCAAAATTGTGGAAACCTTTTAGGGAAAGTGTATTTCCGAGGTTTGATGGCTCATAACACCTGATTGGCTCTCTAAGCAATCATGCTCATTGGCTATATTCAAAGGACAGAAAGCTACTGCATATCAACCTAAGCAAGTTGTGCTTCCTTTTTTCTGGTTATTTGGCTCTAACTTTTGATAGAATGCAGATAATTGAACAAACTTTACATTACATTCTTCATTAAATTATGTTTCCATTGATATATAATTTTATGGTATTACTAAAAAAAAAAAAAAGTGGTGTCATAAGCCATCAAACCTCAGAAACACACTTTTTCCAAAAGGTTTCCACAATTTTGTCCACTACTGTAAATGATGATGATGATAGCACTCAGGCACATACCTGGAAAGTGCAGTCCTGTGCTTAGAGAGCACAAGTTAAAAGGTAAGTCAATATGCCTAGCGCTGACTACCGCCCCATGTTTTTAAGTAAAAGGTAAAGGTAAAGGGACCCCTGACCGTTAAGTCCAGTTGCGGACGACTTGGGGGTTGCGGTGCTCATCTCGCTTTACTGGCTGAGGGAGCCGGCGTTTGTCTGCAGAGAGCTTCCAGGTCATGTGGTCAGCATGACTAAGCCGCTTCAGGCAAACCAGAGAAGCGCACGGAAACGCTGTTTACCTTTCCCGCCAGAGCAGTACCTATTTATCTACTTGTTCTTTGACGTGCTTTCAAACTGCTAGGTTGGCAGGAGCAGGGACCGAGCAACGGGAGCTCACCCCATTGTGGGGATTCAAACCGCCAACCTTCTGATTGGCAAGCCCTAGGCTCTGTGGTTTAGACCACAGTGCCACCCGTGTAGTAGCTCTCCACAGTTTAAGACAGCAGCTTCTCCCCATCAAATCTAGAAATGCTGGGAATCGAACCTGGAACCCTCTGCATGCAGGGCAGATTCTCTACCACTGAGCTGCCGCCTTTCCCCAGTCCATCCCCCCGCCCCCCTGCAGATTAGATACAGGCACCAACAAACTAAAATAGCTGTTGCATATGTACTTATTGTCCCATTCTGTTTGCTTTCTGAGCCTCCGAAGTTGCCACCTGCCGAGGCTTCCCACAAGGACCAGGCTCCCCACACGGTGGCTCTGAATGCCAGCACAATCACACAGCCGCTTTTGTCCTTTCGCAGCCACTGCTGGTTCTGTAAGGACAGCATTTCATGCAGTGCTTTCCCCGCCTGCCTACATAGAAGACTTCGGTGCCAATTTTACATCCTGACAAGTCAGCATTAACATTTCCTCAATGCAGACGTTTTGCATCGAGGAAATGAACCTGTGGTTTTCCACCCTATTCTCTCGCGGGTTTTTTTTTGGTGCACGTGTCTTGGTGCAGGATGAATGTTAATTCTGTTTTTCAGCTTGCAGTCCTGCGCTTACTTAGGGCAGTGTGTGCCACGTGATTGCAGTGGTGTTATCTTGTTTTCCAAAAATCAAAATCCCTGGTAGTAGTAGTAGTAATAATAATAATAATAATAATAATAATAATAATAATAATAATTTATTATTTATACCCCACCCATCTGGCTGAGTTTCCCCAGCCACTCTGGGCAGCTCCCAATTGAGTGTTAAAAACAATACAGTATTAAATATTAAAAACTTCCCTAAACAGGACTGCCTTCAGATGTCTTCTAAAAGTAAGACAGTTGTTTATTTCTTTGACATCTGATGGGAGGGAGTTCCACAGGGCGGGTGCCACTACCGAGAAGGCCCTCTGCCTGGTTCCCTCTAACTTGGCTTCTCGCACTGAGGGAACTGCCAGAAGGCCCTCGGCGCTGGACCTCAGTGTCAGGGCTGAATGATGGGGGTGGAGATGCTTCTTCAGGTATACAGTGGTACCTCGGGTTACAGGCACTTCAGGTTACAGACTCTTCTAACCCAGAAATAATACCTCGGGTTAAGAACTTTGCTTCAGGATGAGAACAGAAATCGTGCTCCGGTGGCACGGCGGCAGCGGGAGGCCCCATTAGCTAAAGTGGTGCTTCAGGTTAAGAACAGTTTCAGGTTAAGTACGGACCTCCAGAACGAATTAAGTTCTTAACTAGAGGTACTACTGTATAGGACCGAGGCCGTTTAGGGCTTTAAAGGTCAGCACCAACACTGGTTGAAAGGACTGGTGTCAGCTCTTAATATCCTTGGCCAATGGACAGGGTCCACATGCCCCGGTAGAATCCGCCAGCGCTGCTGGATGGCTTCCCATGGTGAGTGGCTGTGAACTCCTGTTTTAAATTGCTGTGAGTGATCGCCAAAGAAGAATTTTTGTACAAGCAGACCTGTCTAACTGCTAAATAAACAGGCCGTGTGGGCAAGCCCCCAAACCAAAACACACTTAGCTTCTTGCGGTGCCATCTTTGAAATCTAGTCTCGGGATTGTTTCAGCAGGACACCATCAATATATCTTTACATGTGTTGCTGTTGTTTTCGTCTGCACAGGCTGCTGATCTAATCATCACCCCGTCTGCAACTTTCAAAGAAAAGCCAGACCCGAAAGGCCTGGTGTTTGGGACTGTCTTCACCGACAACATGCTCTTCATCGAATGGTCGCTGGCTTCCGGCTGGGAGAAGCCTCACATCAAACCTCTGGAAAACCTCTCGCTGCACCCCTCCATCTCTGCTCTTCACTATGCCGTAGAAGTGAGTACAGCGACAGTACGAGAAGCAGCGAAACAGTATAATGCCACTTTAAGCCATCCTGGCTTCCCACAAAGAGTCGCAGGAAGTGTTAGTGTGTTAAGGGTGCTGAGATTTGTTAGGAGACCCCTGCTACCCTTTCAGAGCTACAGTTCACTGGGAAGCGACATTGGTCGTTAAACTATTATGGGAATTGAACTCTGAAACAGGAGCAGGGGTTGCCTATCAACTCTCAGCACCCTTAGAAACTCATGACGGTTTACATGCAGGACTACTGCTTTATATGTAGTCATACCTCGGGTTACAGACACTTTGGGTTGTTCGATTTCGGGTTGCGCACTGCGCCGAACCCGGAAGTACCAGAACAGGTTACTTCCAGGTTTTGGCGCATGCGCATAAGCACTAAATCACACTTTGCGCATGCGCAGAAGCGCCGAATCGCAACCCCGTCGTGCGCAGGCACACAGGTTGTGAACGCTGCGGGTTGCGAACGTGCCTCCCGCACGGATCACGTTCGCAACTAGAGTGTCCACTGTATAATGCAGGTAGGGGTTTTAACACCAAGCTTGCTTTTCTCTTTCTTTCTCTCTCTCTCTCTCCTTCCCTCCCTCATATCTATCTCCTGCTTTGCTTAACATCCAAATCGATGAACACTTTGAAAAACTTTAAAAAAAAAAAAAAAAACCACACCCTTTGCTCACTATTTGTGATATCCGGTCTAATAAACGTATCCCCCCACCCAACTTTGGATTTTGGTTTTGAGTGTGGGTTTGTTTTGAAACAGAATATTTCTTCTTGTGCTTTGTAAAATGTTTTCACCTATGTTTCAGTGATAAAACAAAAGGTGCCAAAATCTACTCTGTTGTTATTACTGAGGGTAGCTCTAGAATAATCGGATACGGTGGGAGAGGAATGCAGAGAGGGAGAGATGGCAACATTGCTGACCACATTTTTCCAGCAACATATAGTTAGGAGGAAATGTATGATGACCTATGTCCCCACCCCATTCCATTGGCTGCCATTTGCGTCAAGACAGGGACATGTCCACAGGATTGCATCATTTTGCTAGTTTTCTAAAGCTTTAACCTTAGCCACTGATGATATTATTATTATTATTATTATTGTTATTATTATTGTTATTATTATTACTACTACTACAATTGATTTACAAAGTGATTTACACGTAAAAGAATTAGAAACAGTTAAAAATACAAAACAGATATATTTAAAACAAGACAAAAACCCTAACAAGTGGACACTCATGATAAATATCCATTTATCCAGCTGGAAAAAACCTGTTGGAACAAAAATATCTTCAACTGTTTCAGGAAAGTGTAGATAGGAAATGATGGGAAATGATATATAATGAATTGAAAAAGATGTTTAAAATAACTTTTGTTAAAAAAAACAAAACCCAGAAGCCGTCCTTTGGGGGAATTAAGGGACAGAACTACCCAAACTGTATAGAAATTTATTCAAGTATCTGACTACAGTGGCAAGAATGTTACTTGCCCAAAAATGAAAAGAAGAAGAAGTCCCAGCAAAAGAAGAATGGATACAAAAACTTATGAAATATGCAGAAAAGGCAAAACTTACTGGGGGGGGGGGGGAATCAAGACAACAAACTGCTTTTTGTAAAAGAATGAAATGGTTTATTGAATATTTACAAATAAACTGTAAATGGATAAGAACACTGGCAGGATTATTGTAATAACCTGCAGTTTTACAAGAGGATATTTTTAAAGTAGATGAATAAATGATATGCAGAAAATATTAAAAAGAAAGTTAAGGAACCACAGAAAGAGGGGGAAGGAAGTCAAGTTTTGAAATGTTGAAATGATTGTAAAATTATTGAAATGTATAAAACTGAAAATCATAAATAAAATGATGATGATGAAGAAGAAGAAAGTGTAAATAGTGGGCCTCTGTCATATCTTGACAGGAAGTCTCCTATGGGGAGGCACCCATGCCCTTCTGCAAAATATGTAGTTTAGCTCAATAACCTTCAACCTGGGACTCACCTTTTGGTCCAAAGATACATTTGAGGACCCATTTCTTCATCTTTCAATATATTTATGGTAGCACTTCTACTGTTCTGACTCAATTGAGGTATGACCTTGCAGTGAGTCCCAACCCTCCAGTTGAAGACCAACTATCTCAACACAGGGTATTGAGAACTGATTCAGTAGGATTTCAGAAAGTCATGTTTACTCTGTCAGAAGCCTGGGAGTCTGCCACTAGCACCATTCATTTATTTGTGACGACTGTTTAAGACCTTAGCAGTTTACTTCTGCCATTTTTAAACATCCGTGTAGTGCCACAGTGAAAGTTGGGAGGGGGGCCAGGTGGAGAGCAGCTGTTGTGAAGTACCAAGCCCCCACCCTCCATTTTTCTTGGTGGGATTGGGAGCCGCCAGTTCTTTGCAGCTGAAAAGACAGCTCTGTATGTCAAGAATAGCCAGCCAGATGAGAACACTGCTCAACCATAAGGCAGTGGAACAAACCCACATTTCTAGGGTTAACTCTTGTCTTCTCTAATTTGGTAGCAATAGCCACCCCTTGCCCCATGTCAGGAGCTCATCCTACTCTCGAGTAGGACCCTGGCAGAGACACATGCCCAACTGGCATGTTCCTTCCCTCCTGGTCTTTCATTTGGGAGCTTCAAAAGCTTTCTTCTGCTGGAACATCACAGCGACCGATGCCAACAGACATCGGCACACTTAGGGATCTGCAGAGTCTTTGCAGCTTTCTTGACAGACCTCAGCAACTCAGCATTTTGGCTAATCTACTTTATTTACATAGAAGCACAAACGGAGCACTGCAACATGGCTCCCTCTCTCAGACGGCAAAAAGAAAAAGAACAAAGGACAATAGTCCCACTTCACGGAACCCAGTAACACAAACATCCTGTCTCCGTCACTTCCCACTCTGTGGAGTCAAAACATACACCGTCATGTGATAGACAACAATCCCATGACTGCAATCATGGAGGAGGAATTCTAATAGGCATGCCTTGCCCGCATTTCCCATCATCCCTGCCCACTGTTCCTGCAGTTAAGCTAAGTTGTTTTTTTAAAAGCAGGCATAAAATAAGATTTATTCTGGAGATATACTCAAAATGGTGAATGCCTCCAAGACACACGATGCATCTGGTTACATTCCTAGCCGTGCTGCATGTTGGGGTTTTAAGAATGCATGCTGTGAAATAAATAAGCAAACATATTAAGGGAGGTTCAGACCTGTACGTACATCACTCAGTTATTAAAAAAACGAATGACTTGCAGCTGAATGAATGAA